ATCGACTTATGCAAGGGTCCAGAGATGCCGTAAGAACTAAGTTTCAGCAGTAGATTACTATGCACCTCTGAGTCAAAGGTTTTGCAGAAGTCTATGTCAATTGCGTCTATTGCTTTACCCTGGACAAGATGTGTGGCCTGAATGCTTTTGCAGTGTAGGAGTTACGGATTACAGGACAGATTTTTTTTTTCTGAAACCAAACTGTTTGTTAGAAAGCAGGTTGTTTGTTTCTAAGTGGAGGGTGATGGACTGGTTTATAATCGACTCCATGACTTTACAGAGTTGAAGTCCAAAACTCTTAAAGTTACCAAATTTGGAAGACTCCTGACTTACATGGCAATTTAACACAGTGTTCAACGTGCCTTCAGTTCGTCATAGGGATCTAAACTAATGCTGTAGTCTCTGAAGCTCCCTTGCAAAATAACACTTTTTTAAAAAAATGTAAATCTTGAAAATGCTTGCCTTTGGTTCTCCTTTCAAAAATGTAACTTAAGTGTCATTGGCAGCCCCGATTTAGGCTATCAGGCAGCTTCTCCCGTTAAGTGGAGCAGAAGGAAAATCTGCGAAAATGGAATAAGTGAAAAGGAGCGAGGGGTGAGAATTGTTAATGCAACCCTGGCTTAAGATAACCTCTTTCGTGGCATTAAACCTATTTTGCAAATCCCACTGTATACATTTAAGAAGTGATCATTAGTCTCAAGAGGAGCACGGCATGGTCGCTTTCACCAGGCAGTTAAGACTCAAAATATGTAGTTTGAGAAGGAAAATGGGCAGCTCATGTTATCCAAAGATTTAATGTTCAAAAAGGGACAACGAAATCAAAGGTTAGATGAATACCCGCTAGAACGCCAAGTGCGTTTATTTTTTCTGTCTGTTAACAACAATTTTCCTTGCAGACAATATGGAATGGAATGGAATGGAATGGAATGGAATGGAATGGAATGGAAAGGAAAGGAAAGGAAAGGAAAGGAAAGGAAAGGAAAGGAAAGGAAAGGAAAGGAAAAGAGAAGAAATGGAGTGGAATGGAAAGGAAAGGAAAGGAAAGGAAAGGAAAGGAAAAGAGAAGAAATGGAGTGGAATGGAAAGGAAAGGAAAGGAAAGGAAAGGAAAGGAAAAGAGAAGAAATGGAGTGGAATGGAAAGGAAAGGAAAGGAAAGGAAAGGAAAGGAAAAGAGAAGAAATGGAGTGGAATGGAAA